TGGGGTCCCCAAATGGTCCAGGGGTTTCAGGGGTGGGGGTCCCAAATGGGTCTGGAGTACCCACCCCGAGGATTTATGGGATTTAGGGGATCCCAAAAGGATGTAGGGTCCCTCCACGAAGGAATTTGGGGATTTTTGGGATTCCAAAAGAATGTAGGGCCCCACCCCAAAGGAATTTTGGGATTTTTGGGGTGCCCACTGGCCGAGAAGGGACACAAAGGCCTCATTGCGCAGGAACTGACCCTGCTCATCCAGGAGTTCCCAGGGTCAAATTTTGGGGATTTTTGAAGGATTTGGGGTTGTATAGGACTGAGCTCAGCAGGGGGTAAATGTCTGTGTCCTGTGGGGTCAGGTGTGGGGCCAGAAGGATCATTTGGGGTCAGGTGTGGGGTCAGAGTGGTCCTTTAGAGTAATTTGGGGTTATTTGTGGTAATTTGGGGTCATTGGTGTCATTTGGGGTTACTAGGGTGTAAGAGACAGTCTGAAGTTTCCCTCAGCTGCCTCACAACCATTGCAAGAACAGAGACTGAGACCCTGAAGACCCCAAGGGACTTTGTGCAGGGGTTCTGGCCTGGTTGAGGTGGAAGCTTGCCAGGTGATGGTTTGCAGGTGTGCTTGTTGTGCTGTCAAGGTACACTGCCTTCATTCCTGCTGCTGAGCAGGGACTTGTAAGGAGCGGCCTGTTCTGTACCTTACACCTGCTTCCCAGAGCAAGGGGTCTCATCACAATAGCCTGGGAATTTCCCCACCTCTTGGCCAGCTGCCCCTTGCTTTGAAAGACTGTAAAAATTACTTTTCTAAGTTATTTTCTTCAAGAGAGATCTCCCCATGGAAGAAGACACCGGAGACCCCATCTCGTCTGTTGGTAACTATAACCACCTCTTTTCTCTCTTTACATTGGCTCTTTACCCCTCTCTCCCTCTCTCCCTCTCTCCTCCTTCTCTCCCCCTCTCATCTATCACATAACCCTTGTTGCTGGCACTAAAATAAAGATGCATTATTGCTGTTGTGATTTAAACTGAAATCCCCTGGGGTCCTTTTTGCACTCTGAGCTCAAACGAACCTCTCACGACTCCCACTTGTGTTAGGGGATCGTGACACTCGGCAGCGGGGTGACCCAAGGTGCGGCTTAGAGCAAATGCTCCACGGCACAAGGATATTGGTAGGCACATGGTGGAGACAAGGATGAGGAGGAGACCTCCAGTATGGGTTCCAAAGGCTTTTACTCCACTGGAGGGTCCAGGGACTGAAGACCAAAAACACAACTGTGTGGGGGTTTTTATATGGGGGAGGCCAGAGGGAGGGTACAAAATTTTAACCAATAGGAAGAAGCTGTGGGAGGAGTGGAAGGTTCCATTCAACAATACAATAGGGGAAACAAGGGGAGCAGAGTGGGTCACATGGGCCAATGGGGCATTGGAGATCAGGGGATTTCCAGAGGGGTGGTTCAGGTAGGAGGCTGGCCTAAGGGAAGACTGACAAATGGGTGTAATGACAGATGGGGAACATGAGAAAACAAGGGGTGGGCTTGAGGCAGGATTTGATAGGTGGGTAGGAGGATACAAACTAGGAGCAAACCAATGACTTAGGGGAATAATGGGAGAAACCATTCAAACAAAACACACCACAACAATAGAACTGTTAACCATTACAGGAGGTGGCATCTTCAGGAGGCAATGGATGTGAGTGAGCCCTTGCCACATTGACACTGATTGTTCTGTGTGGAAAGGGACACTGAGAACTTGCCTCCAGCATTCTCCATGGATCTCAAACTGCCATGTGCCAGGGCTTCCAGATAATCCATGTTCTGATCTCAATCTAGAAGGGAGCACAGATCAGAACCCTTTCCATGGTGCCCCCAGCAGAGCTGCGTCCGCCTTTGTCCGGCAGGAAAAGGGATGCGGGAAAAGCGGGCAGGTGCCACCCTGCTCCATTTGTGCACCAGGCCTGAGCCTCAAATGTTTCTGGTTTCTTAGCTAATTTCTCCCTGGCTCCTCTTTAACACGAGCAAGAGAATAGCATCACACAGTCCAGTTTGGCAAATAAGGCTTGTGAACAGCTGAGTGCTTCCACTAAATTAAAAACCAATGTGCTTGAAAGCCGACCTTCTGTTTGCTCAGGCCTCCTCACCTCTGTAGATGAGGTGACTTTATAATGCTGGTATGTGGGTTTTAGGAGTATGTGGGTTTTTATCTGTGATAGAGATGAGGAAGTGTTGAACTCGTTCCAATGAGCTGCCAAAAGCAGTGACTTTAGTCCCTCTTTGGCTGGGGAGTAGCACTGGCCTTGTTGAACGCCGGCAGCAGCACGAGCAGGACTCCTCCAGCAGCAGGGACACGCCACAAGCCAGCAGGGAACTGTGGCACCAGAGGGGACCGTGGCACCAGAGGGGACCGTGGCACCAGAGGGGACCGTGGCACCAGCCATGCCCAAGGTCTGAACAGGGTGGCAAAGTCAGGTGGTGCTACCCGGCTGCATGAACAGCCCAGGCAAGGCGTGGTGAGGAGCCAGGTCTGGGGGGCATCCAAGGAGTCCTGTCAAGAGCAAATGGTTCTAATATTCTCTCTGGGATGAAAAAGGAGCAATCTTTAGAGTGAACTGGTGCTAATAA